GGCAAACATTGGATTATCAATTGAAAAGGATAGCAGAGAATTAGAATGATTCTCAAATGATACAGATTACAGACTTAGTTTTTTTTAGTGGATGACAACATTAGAAATCGGCATGGTTTTGAATCAATGGAAATTGCCAAATTTTGTTATCTTCTACCTTCCGGACATCATCTTTATTTGAAAGTGTATTAGAAATCAAATAATTCCAATCTAGTGAATACAAAAATTATCTTAGATGACGGGGCATTTCGTAACCGTACATACTATTTACTCAATCCTGCAATCAAATTGCCAATACATTACCAACAAATCTAGATTTTTTCGCCCTTATGTAGTAGAGAACTATTCTGTATAAGTATGGTGAATGGAAAAACAGAATGTTGAAATAAAAAAAATCGATCATCTAAATTATTGTTGTGGATAGCCACACTCGTGTATACTATTTCCAGAGGGATCTTGGACTTGATAATAATAAGTGTTTTAAAAAATCCAAGCAGAAATCCCACATAATTTTCCACCTACAATTTTGCGCAACCTATTGCTTGCAAGCCTCATACAATAGCGCCATCCAATTTCAGTCGTTTGTAATTTCATATTTTAGGTATTTTTTGGTTGGTAAATCTCCCCATCTAAATAAAAACCGGCCTATCTTTCTTTAGGTGTATCCCATATTTTATATATTGTGAGTAGTGACTATAATTTTAGGTAGTATTACTATCGACCTTAGTTTAGATATATTCACCATACACAGGATCCATCATTTTTGCGTACCTTGAGGATATGCTTCCCAGCCTATTTCTTCTATAAAAAATTTTAAATGTTTGATATTTGAGTCGTTTATTTTGAAAGTGGTTTAAGTACATTTTTTTTCTAATATTAATATATTTAAAGGTTTGGGTTTGAATTGTTTCAAACATACTGTAAAGTGGTATTGATTTTGTTTGTGGTTTTGTGCCCTTACACATAATAGAATATATATCGTAATTTATTTAGTAGACTTTTCTACAAAACCAAGATTTGTGTCAGAACCTATAATGGACTTTAATCACTTACAAAATAAACGACTAATATCTGATTTTGATTACCTAACTTACCTCTCTACCAAAGATTCTCTAATTTTTTTAGAAAATGGCCCATACGAAAATTTTATGTTATGTTAAATTTCTTCTTGGAAATATTGTCGGTATAAGTCAATTTTTATACCCTCAGCCTTATGGCTAATAAGCCTTTGCTACGCAAAAATATATATATGTTGCTTTGGACCAAATCCGTTTCGGACAATTTGGAGTCTATTTACAAATGTCCGTCCGTCTGGCCGGCTGGTGAGCACGATAACTTTTGAATGGAGTAACCGATTTCATCTAAACTTTGCGCATTGTAATATTTTTTCCAAACCTAGTTAAAGTTCAGAGGTGGGGGCTATCAGTCCAGTTCTTCTGGTACAACCCCCACTAAATGGTCAAAATCGTGATAAAAATTAATTTTTATATTTGAATTTTGAGATTTGAACCAAACTTTGTTTAACCTATTGTCTTTACCAAGGCTTTATCAAGTCCGAAGATAGGTCCCATTGGTCCTCCCCCCACAAATGGCCAAAATTTTCATTATTTTGAAACCCAATATCAGACGAATGGAATGTCCGATTTGAACCAAACTTAATACAACCTATTATCTCTACCAAACCAATATTAAGTCCGAAAATGGGACCCAATGTCATGATCGTTTGTGTAAGATCTGTTAAAAAGTCGCCGACTAATAAAAGTCTTGTTTTCAAAATTAGTTATTTTTCCCCTTCCCTTTAATGCATTTTTCCATCGAGTAGTCTTTTGAGATCTGAGAAATGGAAAATGTCGCTATGGACCTTCTCAGGAGAATTAGATAGATTCTAAAGCCCTAATTGCTGTCATTGGAACGAGGATGTTTTTTTAATGTGATATTCGGTGATATTTTCTATAGACAGAGATCAGAAACTTACCATCGATCCACGATTTTTTACCTCATTTAGAAGCTTTAGGGCTAACAAAAATTCTTCTGACGTCGTAAATTTTGACCGGGCCGATATTTTGATATTTTCCAATATGAGCAGCACCTTCGAAATATATAAAATTGCTCGGGGTCATTATATGCCAAAATAATGACCGGCATTTTTAATGTTCTGCAAATAGATTATTATTCTCTTAAACTCCAAACTATACACAAAAATCTAAAATAGTACGGGCGATATCAAAAAACATGGCCTACATTTAAAATATTCGGCGAATATGTTTTTTATTCTTCAAAAACACACCATTATTTTGGATAATGCAGCTAAAACATTTATAATATTGAAAATGGGCGAATCTTTATATGAAAGCTATATTAAAATATTTACATATATTAAAAAAGTTTCGGAAAAAAGTTTTTATCCTCCAAGAACCCGAAATGGCAAACTAAAATTACTTCGATTGAAAAATAAGCCTATGATGATCAAAATGGGGAAGACGTTTATATGTGATCTATGTGGAGCATTTTCGTGGATTTGTTTTTCAACCTCCAAAAACATAGACTTTGTGCTCAGAATATGTTAGACACCGTCTGCGATAAGTTTTAAAGGGTCGTACTGTCAAAATGAAAGAAATTAAAAATTATGTGAAATCAGGAGAGACTGGAGGTGGTATTGAAAAAGGGAACTTAATGTTCATATTTTTAAGAAAAGTGTGCAGAATGGTGGAATATCGGTTTTGCACACTAACTGATAGAAAATCCCATTATTTTCAACTGAATTTTAAACACCTCAGTCAGCCAACAACCATGAATATTTTAGAGGTTTTCTGATGAATGTCGAACATGAAGGGCCACACTATCATAGAAGCAAAATTTGAGCAAGAGTGCCAATCAAAATCATAGTGTGTATTCCGCTTCCTGTCCTGTACTGCTTGATTTAATTACTTTGAACCAACAAGGACATTTCGAAAATCTATTCTCCTTAAATTCCACTGAACTCGTGGTGGAAGGAATAACAACCTTATAAAATAAAACTGACTCAGGAATTAATGCCGATAAGCCATTTGAACTAATGTTGTCAAGTCCATATTAAAAAAAAACCTTTAAAAATTCCGACTTGTATTGAGTTACGGGGACTATGGATGAGTGTACATTCTATCCTTTCAGGACTAGTAACACATTTTTTAAAACAAACTCTGTGAATTTTTGTATAATTTGTCTTTGCATTAAAAATGACGCCCAACATAATAGTCATAAACGACATAAGATCTGAGAAGAGAAAATAGTTGCTGGGCGCCCAATATTCAGAAAATCGATTCGTCATCGTTTTCGATGTCTTGTGACACGGTGTATTGGCTTGGCGAAGGCGGTCCTTATTTATATTTTCATTATTAAAAACATTTCTAATCCTATTAGGATTATGACAGTGCGAATGTGCTGCCTCCATTCCTTCCTGTTATTTATTTGAAGATTTTGTTTTATAAAAAAATTAAATTGGGAGCCAATTTTCACCGTGAAAGTGATAAGCATTCAAACCCATCCTCTTATCAATATTATTTTTTGAACTATGGCGTTTGGAACATTCAGGAACCCTCTGACATCTAAAAATATATATAAGGATAATCTTGTTTTTTGCAAAATAGTCAACTATTTATTAGTGTGGAATGTATGGCATTGTCCGCCGAGGGGTAAGGCAGGGAAGACTACAGTTTCGGATCTCGCCACTGATCCACATCAGTTCCCTTAGTTTTTTATTGGGATATTCTCCCCAGAAGCTTTTAATAGCTTCTTTACAAAAAAACCTTTCAAACCCAAATGTCTCTTGTGACAATTCGAAGTTCTTACGTTACCAGCGATACGACCCTAATGAGAAGTTCGTTTCGTTGGCGCCTGACGTGGTCAACAAGGCATTTGCAGACAACTACAATACATTTCCCACTGCTATGTGTCGTCACTTTGTGACGAATTAAGCCTGGGATTAAGCCTGACTATTTTGCAAAAACAAAATACAAAATGACAATTCGAAGTTCTTACGTTACCAGCGATACGACCCTAATGAGAAGTTCGTTTCGTTGGTGCCTGACGTGGTCAACAAGGCATTTGCAGACAACTACAATACATTTCCCACTGCTATGTGTCGTCACTTTGTGACGAATTAAGCCTGGGATTAAGCCTGACTATTTTGCAAAAACAAAATACAAATGGTATCCCAAATAACCCGCCAACACTACTACAGCTTCCTTTTGGTAAAATTGAATTTAATTTACACGAAATAACCACAAATCCACATATTTTCTGTAGCGGATCTGGATTGACTGGATTAGGAGTATCAACGTAACATAAAAATACAAAATTATGCATACAATTTACTTTCAGGTATTTAGGAGTTTAGACCCCTTACTATCGAAAACAACCATCGATGTCACTATAAAGCTTTAAATAATTTTAGAAACTACCGCAATTTCTGTCATGTATTTATTTGTTTTCCTGCAGAGGGAGACATTGCTCTTTTTAGTTAAACATGTATGTTATCCTTCGAAGAATTCCCGGATTTAATTATAAGCCACTGCTTTTGAACAAACAAAAAGTCATAACAATATGGCGCCCAACAATAGTTTTTAGATGTTTTTAGTTATCGAATATAATTAAGTGTGGCTTTTCAATTATACTGGGACAACAATCTCCGGATTACAAGATGTGAACTAAAAGTCCCAAAAATATGGCGCCCAACATTGAGATTGATTTAGATGTTTTTAAGTATCGAATATAATTCAGTGTGTATTTTCATCTATACAACTAGGACAGAAATCGGCTGATTATAAGGTGTGATTCTATTATATTTGATAGGAAATTATGTTAAAGATTAACAAGATTTGAGCTGTGATGTTCCTTTGTTATAATAAATCTTTTGATGTCTATAGAAATTAGTCAGAAAATGCTATATATAATTCTATAAATTAATTAATAATAACACCTATGACCTTGATTAATATATATTTTTTGCAATTTCTTTACAGCTCAATTGACGATGAAATTGATGGCAATTGTATTGTGAGAGCTCGTGGCTTACCCTGGCAGAGTAGTGATCAGGATATAGCAAAATTCTTTCGTGGTCTCAACGTTGCCAAGTAAGTATTAATGATAACAACCATAACAACAAAAAATGGAAATTCTTAAATTAATTCGAATGATGTTGCAAATCAATACGAATGAAATATTTTCATACCACAACAACAGCGACAACAACTATTGATTGATATTAAAAATATATACAGAGATTTTTCAATTGAAACATTGATAATTCAGAAGCGAACCGACTTGATATTCATTTTCATTACAAATACACACACAGACACAATCTTGTGTATGTTTGAGTATGTGATAGGTATAACTGTAGAATTTACATTTTGCATGATAATGAAAGGCTGCGGATGCAGTCTCTGCTGCCACTGTTGCAGTCACCAAAGATCGCCTGCCATACCAAAGAAAATTGATTTTGTTGTACTTACAACAAAAACAATGCAACCATTTGTTTGCCTTACTCACGTTGTAGCGCCACAGCTTGAGATGCTCTCATTGTTGATTATTCCTTGAAAACAAGAGTAATGATCAGCAACAGCGATTTTCACCACGGGTCGCATTACGCACTGATAAAGATTTATATATTTTTCGATTTTACATTAGATTCGAACATTCGTTATGGTAATGGAGCATAGAAAAATTCGAATTGATAAGTATTTTTGTAAATTTTCGTGTTTTTCTCCCTCTCTCGGTCAAGTATGGCTTTACTAGAACGATTTTCTTTCATCAGCCATAGTCAACACCTTATCAGCAGTTAAAGTATCGCCATGAAATCTCAAATGTTTCGGTTTTTATTAGATTTTTCGATTTGGTTGGGTAATTGACGACAATGAGTTGCATTGATTGTTTGTGTGATTAGAATAAATTTTTGTTGTAGTTTTCATTTTGAATGGATTTTAATCTCGAAATAAATAAATAAAAGAAATTAGACTTGATTTAAAACTAATAATAATATTCGTGTTTTCAATAAATCTTTTAAAATTCAGCTTAGTTTTCCATTAACATGGAATACATATCTGATTTCAGAACCCAGTCTTACTAAAAAATAATAAAAAAATTCTTTTAAAATAGTGGATCTTGTTCAGTATTTGCTTAATACTGGGTATCAACATCAATGAAGGCTAAATAATTTATTACAGCATTTATATTGCTTGTAATGGCGCCCAACCTAAAATTTGTATTTTTCTATACATATGTTTTTTCATTAATATCAATAATTCTTTATACTAAAAAAAATCCCATCCCATATTTTCATTTCCATTTACAGAGGCGGCGTCGCTTTATGTCTATCACCATTGGGCCGTCGTAACGGTGAAGCTTTAATTCGTTTCATATCACAAGAACATCGCGACATGGCGCTAAAACGTCACAAACATCATATTGGCAATCGTTATATAGAAGTATATAGGGCAACGGGGGAAGATTTCCTCTCCGTAGCCGGTGGTGCCTCAAATGAGGCACAGGCTTTCCTATCGAAGGGAGCTCAAGTTATAATTCGCATGCGTGGCTTGCCCTATGATTGTACTGCCAAACAAGTGGTAAGTATTTGGCTGAATCTTTTAATTGTGTTATATCTCTATTCATATTTGATTTTATTTTTTCTAGTTGGACTTCTTCACAACCGGTGACCAGCCGTGCAATGTCTTGGACAGTACCGAAGGTGTATTGTTTGTCAAAAAACCGGATGGCCGTGCCACCGGTGATGCTTTTGTTTTATTTGCCAATGAAAGTGATGCTCCCAAGGCCTTATCACGTCATCGTGAATCAATTGGTCAACGTTATATCGAATTGTTTAGATCTACCACAGCAGAGGTACAACAAGTCCTAAATCGTTCATTGGATCCAAAGACCTATGAACCAAATCACCAGCCGCCTTTGATTGCTCAATTGCCACCAATGCAATTGTCATTGTTGCCACAGGTGAGTAGACAAAAAATTATATATTTAAATAAGGGGTAGGGCGGGAAAAGGAAGGAATACCAGGAAGTAGTCATATTAACATAAAAACAGGACTATGAAATTCTTTGATCAATAATCGATGGGCCTCAGAATATTTGCTATGGTAACAAAAATTTCGACCTTTATGGATTCTTTGGAATAACGCCCAACATAAGAACATTACACTTTTCAAGATATGTCTCAAAATTTCCCAGTGTGTCTTCGAAATATACTTATGTTTAATATCGTATTCGAATATCCATCTCAACATATTTTCAAATGTACCAAAAACTTCGACATCCAGCATTCTTTGCAATGGCGCCCAATTTACGCCGATATTGGCAGATATTAGAATATCGCCAAATCTCCAAGGGGTCTTCGAAATATTCTTGTGTTCAATATCGGCTTTGATCAAAATTCTAATAGCTTTCTCAGAATATTTTCACATTTAGCCAAAATTTCGACTTCCATGACTTATTTGAAATGGCGCCCAACGTCAGCCTTGAAATATACTAGAATATATTAATGTCATCAAATCTCCGAGGCGTCTGCGCAATATTCTTAAGTTCAATATCGTAACCCCCGTCTTTGATCAATATTCAAATATATATTTCAGAATATATTTAAATGACGCCCAACCTTGGGCAAAAATTTCTCCTACCTTAGACTTGTAAAGTTTGACATTAACCAATTTGAAATTTAATTGAGATTGGCGCCCAACAAATCTATATTTATTAGAGTTTCAAATTTTGACATTGCTATAAGCCTTTACTTTATTATAATTTTTTCAAAGTGGCGCCCAACGTAAATCCAAATATTTTTTAAAATGTAGGTCTTCACAGATATTGTTACATTTTATAACGTCTCAAAATCTGCACATTTAAAATTTTCTTTGGAATGGCGCCCAACGTCAAGCGCCCAAAATCAATTCTATTTTTACTAATTCTTTCCACTTTGTAATTTTAAGCATTTGATTAGGAGATATTCTTGATTTGGACTATTTTGCCGTATTTGATCAATATTCGGTTAGCTTCCTCAGACTGTTTTAAAATACTGCAAGAACTTCGACTTCCATTGCTTCTTTGAAATGGCGCCCAACGTTCAGCATTGACCTCGGGCTTTATTGTATTAGAATCTTTTCAAATGTCTCAAAATCGCCCAACGTAAAACCAAATATATTTTTATTCGACTTTTAAAGTCTGACATTGACTTTATTAGAATCTTTTAAAATGTCTTAAAATCTCCAATTTTGATCATGTCTTTGGAATGGCGCAACGTAAAACCAAATATATTTACATAAGACTTTCAAAATCTTTTGTAGGACTTTACAGATATTATAATATTATAACGTCTCAAAATCTCCAAATTTGATTTTTTCGGAATGGCGCCCAACGTAAAACCAATTCTATTTTTCATAATTCCTTCCATTTTGTTTCTAATTTTCAGCATTTGATTACCTCTGGCACTACCAAGAATTGTATACGTTTGCGTGGCCTGCCCTATGAGGCCTTGGTGGAACATATTCTACATTTTCTGGATGATTTTGCCAAGCATATCATCTTCCAAGGTGTACACATGGTGATAAATGCCCAGGTAAGTTTCGCATAATTTCCTCGAAAATGATCAGAACTTCTTATTAACGTTTTATCTTTTTTGCTTTTCAGGGTCAACCCAGTGGCGAAGCCTTCATACAAATGGATTCCGAAGAATCTGCCCGCTTGTGTGCCCAACGTAAACACCACCAATTTATGGTGTTCGGCAAGAAATACCGTTACATTGAAGTGTTCCAGTGTTCGGGTGATGACATGAATATGGTACTCAATGGTGGCCTACAATCACCAGTTCCTGCCGCCCATCCCCATGCTCATTTGGCGGGTGGCAAGCAGCCATCATTATTATCACCGGGTATGTTAGCACAACAACCGCCGGCCAACGCACAAGCTATTAGTCCTCATACGCATGCTCATTCTCATGTCCATGCCCATTCCCATCCTCATTCCCATGCTCATGCCTTGCAATCACAGCCCTCGGTAGCTGCTGCTGTGGCAGCTTTGACACAACCACCGCATGCAGTTGCAGTGCCCGCAGCAGCCCCGCCTGTACCTTTGGGTGCTGCTGCTGCGGCGGCAGGTGGTATTTCACCATACATGACTGCACCGGCTGCAGCTCATGCTGGTGTACAACATCCTTCCCTGGCTCAATCGGCAGTGGCAGCAGCAGCTGCTGCACAAAATGCTGCTGCCGCTGCTGTGGGTACTCTTGCCTCGCCGCCAAATCAATTGGCGGTGCATACAGCCACAGCTTCGGCTGTCAGCCCTCAGGCTGCCATGACATTTCCCTTTAATTTATCCCTGCCTCCCCCACCCACAGCTGCGGCCACAGCTGCTCATAACTCTGCACTGATTGCTCAACAACAAGCTCAATTTATTGCTCAGCATAATTTAATGGCACGCCAACAAGCTGCGGCTGTTGCAGCTGTTGAACAACACCATCAACAGCAGCAACAACAACATCAGCAGCAGCAACACCAACAGCATCATCAGCAGCAGCAACAACAACAGCATTTGTATACAAATTTGAATCCGTTGTTTATGCAGCATCCGGGTGTTGCTGCCATGGGTGGACCAGGTAGCGCTGGGGCACATTCCGCGGTAGCAGCTGCTGCTGCCGCCGCTGCTGCCGGTCAGCCACAATTTGTTTTTATGCCAAGACCGTATTTTCAAACCTTCAGTCCCTTGGGTTATATGCAGGCCCAACAGGGTTATCAGTTTGCCACGGGTATGATGCCACCTCAAACGGCGCAGTCGGCTGCTGCGGCTGCAAATAGTGGTAGTTATGCTGTGGCAGCAGCTGCTGCGGCAAATGCTGCAGCCGCTGCAGCGGGCTCATTGCCACATTCCATGAAGCGTTCGTATGAAAATGCATTTCAACATGAAGCCAATGCAGCGGCGGCTAGTGCTGCCAAACGGGCCTTGACACGGCCACCGGGTAATATTTATCATTTCTATAATCCGGGGGTATAAGAAACATTTTCTAATTCGCCTTTTCCTGGCAGCTAATTCAGTAATTTATTCTCTTACCGAATTGGAATAATTATTGATTGAAAATACTGATTCGAAACTCCCTATGATTTTTAATGGATGAGGTCTAAGAGTTTGGCTGGGAAAAGCCTCTTTTTCCTCACTTTGAATTGCTCAAAATCGAACCCTGACCCCATTTCAATTTTCTTTATTTTTCTGATGAAAATATATATCGAATATTTCAAAATGTCTACCATCCCCTAGGATTTACATACATATATATATAGACTGCTTAGCAGCTGTTCTTAATTTTTTTTATTTAAAAAAAATATATTAATTTTTATTTTTAATTTTTTATTAATAATAATATTTTTATTTTCAAATTATTTTGAAAACTAAACAAAAAATATTAAAACTCCATTACTTTGCTCAATACATTCCACATTAGCATTTAAGTAAAAATAAGTGCTTCCATGATACTTAAAAAACCGCGTTTGCCTTAAGCCAGCTTAAGAGGGCTACCAACATGATTGCAATATTTCAAAATTATTTATAAAAAAAAATCGAAACAAAAATAATTTTGTTTGAAAACATTTATTCCTCATCCCCTACATGCCCCCATTTCCCCCACTTTTAACCTTTTATAAAAACCCTGGGTTAACCTTTAAACTCTACTTTAACTTTAGTTTATAAGTTTAAATATTTTTTATTATTTGAATTATTTTTTAGCTTAGTTTTTTTGGATTAGAATTAAGAAAAAAAATTGAAAAAATAGACAAGAAATTTGCCCAAACAAAAAATAATAATTTTTAGAAAACCAAGAAATGTGGCAACTATCTAACCTTACAAAAATTCAAAAATGTTTTTGTTGCAAAAAAATCAACTACAAAAAAATAAATGGAACAAAAACATCTAGAAAGGGTTAAAACGAATAATGGTTTTTAATGAAAAGAGGCTAACGTTAATCAAATACTGTTTAACTATTTTTTTTTAAATTTTATTTTTTTGTTTTATAAAAATCCATCAAAAATCCCTCCATATTGAAACAAAAAATCACAAAACTGTGCAATTTTTTTAAAGTATTTTTTAAAAATACTTAAACATTTCTTTTTATTTATTTTGAAAAAATTTAACCCTCCTTAAAAGTTAAACCGTGTTTGATTAACGTCTGGTGTTGGCTTAAAAAAATAAAATTTGGTGATTTAAAAAAATCTGGTTTTCGTGCATACAACCATATTTTCGGGCCTATTGCATCTTGTGTCTCTAAAAAACAAGAAAAAAAAAAAAAAATCAACAACAACAAACTCAAATTAAGAAAAAATATATATATTAAAAAATTGTAAAAAATCATTTGCTAAAACAAATCACCCTAGTTTTGGTTTCTTATCATTTTTGTTATATTTAGTTTTCTATTAAATTTCTTATTTTTAGTTATAATCATGATTTTTGTTTAAACACAAAAAAACTTAATTTGCCCTAGTTATATAGAATTTCATTAAGAAAAAAAAACATAAAACTTGAAACTTGAAACTTCCATAAATGTTTAAAACTATCATTACAACAAAAAAGAAATGTGGTTACTATTCTCTATTGAAAACCTTTCCTGTCATGTGTCTCTATTTTGTCTCTCACTGTCTTCCACTAATATTTGGTTATAATAGTTAATAATTGAAATTGGAATCTACTTACAAAAAACAACAATATTTTCACAAAGCTAAAAGCAGTAAATTAAATATCAACACTTTTAACTATAAAATATTAACACAATGCGAATCAGAATGTACAACTACATTAAAATTCTAACTATCGTTCAAAATAGAAATCAATTTTTAAAAGCTCTGTGAAAATATTTTCCCTAACATAATTTGTACTTAAATAATTTTCATTTGATCTTTTTCTATTAAAAGGGATATTAATCTAATAAATTACATACATATGTACAAGCATAATGATATATACATAATGAGAGCGGCATTCTGTCAAAGATAAATTTTCAAAGCTAAAATTAATGTACCTAAAAATATAACGATATTTTTGAGTGCATTAATTTTAGTTCTAGAGCCAATGTGTACTGAGTTTCGTGAGACCAAATTCATTATATTGTGGCCTTTTCTAATTTTTAATTTGAACATCTTCACGACGACGAATGTTTTTTATTATGTGTATTGTTCATCGATAATGGTGTTAGTCACAAAATTGTCCTTGCTTAGGTTCCTTTAATTTATTTTGGGTTATTCATTGTATTATAGATCGTTCTACGTGTTTTTTGTCTCGTCATTACTAATCCGAAAATTTCTACTCTACCATCTTTTGCTGATGTTTTCTAATCATCCATTATTGTGTTCTTGCCATTTTCATAAATATCAAAATAAATCGAATTGACGTATCGGTGTCCTAATCCAGGCTTTTGACGGGTATTATGTCTTTGTGCATTTATATAATTAATATATACCCATCGCTCCCAATGATAATCTATTAAATTATTTTTTGACTTGATTTATATATTTCGTCAATCCGACTATGAGCTTGTATTTATTATCCTGAAACGCCTCATTTGTTTGACCCAAGGGCTAACCCTATTGATTAAAATCGATATAAAGCAAACGAAGCATGAAATATTCCAAATATACCACTCCGATTATGTTGATCGGAATTTAACCTTGAGCCTAAAATGACGTGTACCTAGTTTGGTTTAAATTACTTCATATTTAAGTATACAGTTGTGCCTAGACCTTTGCAGAGCCTGTTCACAGTGTACTGAATAAGTTGCTGCTTACGCTCAGAAATTGATTTTAGAACTGGGTATTCGCAGGCTTATACTGTTTAGAGTTCGGGGTGGAAAAATCTTTTTACTATATCCAGAAACGTGTGTATCTCTTCTATATATTTATACACTAAAGAATGTATATACAAGAAAATGGTCAAAATTGTGCAAAAAATTGATTTTATAATAACATGCGAGAAGACCATCCAATTTGAACCAAACTTTGTACAACCTATTATCTATACCAAGCCTAGATTAATTTTGAAGATGAGACCCTTTGGTCCACTCATCCATACTTCCTCCACAAATGGTCGAAATTTTCAATATTTATAAATCCAATATCAGGCGAATGGAATGTCCGATTTGAACTAAACTTTGTACAATTTATTACCTTTACCAAGCCTAGATAATGTCGGAAGATGACATCCTTTGGTCCACTCCTTCTGGTAAATTCAATATTACACTGAACCAAACATTGCACAATTTAACAATCCTAGAAAAGCTCTGAAGGTTTGACTCGTCCGTCCTCTGCTTCTGGTACCTCTGTTGTAAACTTGTAAATTAAATTTCAAGCGAATTGAATAACCAATTTGATCAACATTAAATTCGAAACCTCTTTGATAGAAGCCTTTGGTCAGAATTTATTACATCCACCAGACACATAGTCTGTTTCTCATTCAGAACTTTATTTATTCAACAACATATAATACGAATTTGTACTTAAAACTAGTTTAAGTTTACAATACTTTGAAATATTCGCCGAAGACCCCACATTCTTGATACGAAAAAATCTGTCGATTGTCGTTTTAACCTAGTGCGTTCATATTAAAATCGCAATATTAAAGATCGAAATTTAAAATTTAGTTGATAGAATGCTAGTAGGGGAGACTGGGGCACCTTCGGCACTTTTTTTAGAGCTCTATATCTCAGTACTTATTCAACATATATAACAACTTTATGGCAGATTATTGTCCTCTGACACTTAATTATAAAAAATAGTACCAAAAAGATATAAAAAATAGCATTAGTTAACAAATTTTACAGTTTTGTAAAAAAAGTCAAATTCGCCGAATGTGCCCCAACCCAGGGTAGATTCGGCATTTGATGGGGCACATTCGCCA